ATGCCTGCCGCAATGCTTTGCCAAGTGTAAGATGATCCCTTCTAAGGACCAGCTTTAAGTAAATTAACATCTGGGTAATATTTAGCACGAAGAACTTGCGCACATAAAGAATCTGAGTTATGGAGAAGTCGCCAACACCGTTTTGCTAACATGGCATGGTTAAAACTGTGAAGGTCCCTAAACCCCAACCCCCCTTTCTTCTTTGGGATACACAACTTTCACCATGCAAACCAATGCATTTTCTTCTGATCATCATTGTCTCCCCACCAAAAACCAGAAATTTCATCTGTGATTGACTTGCAAATTCCTTTTGGCAGCTTGAAAACAGACATAGCATATGAAGGAATAGCTTGGACAATAGACTTAATTAGTATCTCTTTACCTTGCATGGACAGAGTTTTTTCTTTCCACCCCTTCAATCTCTGGCATACTCTGTCAATCAGGTGTTGAAAACAATCATATCTGTCCACCCCAACCATTGTTGGTAGACCCAAATAGGTATCTGAAAGTGCTTTAGTCACAATATTAAGCTCTCTACAGCAATTCTCCCTTATGATAACATTGGTATTAGGACTAAAGAAGATACTTGACTTAGCATTACTCACAATTTGTCCCGAGATAGAACAATATGTCTCAAGCACCCTTTTCAGAGTGTTTGCATTTTGTGTGTCTGCTTTCATCAAGATAAGGGAGTCATCTACAAATAACAAATGTGAGATAGAAGAAGCATTACGACAGACCCGAATTCCCTCTATACCTCCAACCTCTTATTCATGTGACAAGAGACTGGACAAGCCTTCAGAACATAGCAAAAATAAGTAGGGGGACAAGGGATCCCCCTGCCTCAGTCCTCTTGTGGGGTTGAATTCCTCCATTTTTGTATTATTAAACCAAACTCTGTAGGCAACCGAGGAAACACATTCGATGATCATGTTCACCCAGAGCTCATGAAATCCCATTCTCAGCATCACCTTTTCCAGGAAACCCCACTCAACGTGATCATAAGCTTTGTTCTTGTCCAACTTTATGGGACAATAACCATTAGACCCATGGTTCCTTTTCTTTATTGCATGGAAGCATTCGTAGGCCACAAGTACATTGTCCATAATAAGCCTACCCAACACGAAAGCGCTCTGAGTAGGTGAGATAACTTCTGGAAGGATCATTTTTAGTCTGTTTGCAAGCATCTTAGAAATGATCTTATAGACTACGTTGCACAAAGAGATGGGCCTATACTGCATGATTACCTCTGGGCTCTCAACCTTTGGTATTAAAACCACATTAGTTGAGTTCCAACCATCTGGTATCTTCCTCTTTTTAATTGCATCAAGGACCTCAGTTGTGTGTTCATCTCCTACTATGTGCCAGAATCTCTTGAAAAAGATTGCATGAAGCCCGTCGGGACCAGGGGCCTTCATATCACCGATTTGGAAAAGAGCTTCCCTGACATCATCTCTAGTAAAATCAGAAATCAAGAGATCATTCATATAGTTTGAAACAGATGGTTTAATAGAGTTCAATACAGCCGGGTCAATATCCCCCATGCTAGATGTGAAAAGGCTACCGAAGTAATCTCTGATGAGCGGGCACAGGTTATCATTCCCCCCAACCCAGCCACCTGTATTACGATCGCCCCGTCGCAACCAGCTACCTCTTCCCCTCTGAGCCCAATATATTTCATCTTGCTCAAGGAGATTTTCTATAAATATAGCTAGCTCTCTTTGTTTCATTCGCACCTCCTATGACGGTGGCATTTTCATAAGGTCATCAAGCTCTTTTTGTGCCTTTCGAAGCCGACTATGGGGCTCCTTAAGTACCCTTTGATCCCACTTGTGCAAGTCCGTGTGAACCGAGTCTAACTTATCTCTGGATGTCGGGCATAGCCCTTGCTGAACGGCCTTCTGCCATGCTGTCTTGACAATCTCTTCCACAGTTTCCTCCGCAAGCCAGCAAGCCTCAATTTTTTTTGTGCGGCCAGGTCTGTTGTCAGCAACCCCCGCCAGGTACTCGGTATCAAGGTAGATCGGCCTATGGTCTGATTTTTCCATCTCAAGATTAGCAAGACCCGCAAAAGGGTGCAACAACATCCAATCTGAGTTTGATACTGCCCGGTCAAGCCTCTCGCAAAGACCTCCACGAAACCAAGTGAATATGTCTCCTGTGTATCCAATGTCCTCCAAACCACAATCAGAGAGAGCATCTTAAAAAGCTTGCAACCTTGAGTGATTGCGAGGGGCACTACCACTAGTAGAAAAAAGATCTAATGTGAGACACATTAGTCCCGGTTCGATTTTGGCCCGGTACTAATGGTACCATTAGTGCTGGTTCGAACGGCTATGCATTAATGTCGGTTCGTGTTGAACCTCCACGAACCGATACTAAAGGGGTGGTGGCAGGCTGGCGTCGGGCCGGGGCCCCACGATCACCTTTAGTACCGGTTCGTGGCACAAACTGGTACTAAAGGGCTATCCTTTAGTACCGGTTCGTGCCACGAACCGGGACTAAAGGGGTCTGACCTATAGTCCCGGTTGGAGACACAAACCGGGACTATAGGTCAATTTTCAAACTCTACCCCCCCCCTCGGTGTATCGCCATTTCAGTTTAGAAAAAATCAAAAGAAAATGATAAAAACTTCAAAAAATAAAATCCTTCGAGAGGTAGTTATATTACTACATCTACTAGTTAGGAAAATTTGAAAACTTAAATTTGGACATGTTTTGCAAAAAGTGTAGGGAAAATGTAAAACGGCTATAACTTTTGCATACGATGTCGGAAAAAACGTATAATATATCAAAAAATTCAGCATGAAAATCCGCATCCGATTTTGACATCCTACGGCCTGTTTGAAATTTTTGAGAATCTTAAAATTCCAAAAGGAAAAAAAGATATGCTCAAATTTCAGTTTTTTCCTAAATTTTGGTTAAATCTGGTCAAACTATGGTGAAACTACTTATTCAAGAGGTATTAATGTTACTACATAATTATTCAAGAATATTAGTGTTACTAAATAATTATTTCAATTTTTTGAATTTTGGTCAAATCTGGTCAAACTATGGTCAAACTTATTCAAGAAATATTAGTGTTACTAAATAATTACTGTTTTTTTAATAATAGTTTCAAACTCAAATGGTGAAACATGTAACTAATGCTCAAGGTAAACTGCTGAGGGTTAATAGGATTGACAGCTTACATTTGTTAGGAAAACAACAAGTGCAGACTTGAAAAGTAGGGGGAATAGAACTCTGAAGTTAAGCGTGCTCAGGCTGGGGGAGTGAGAGGATGGGTGACTGACCGGGAAGTTTGACGATTTGGAATGAGTGATCCAACAATTGAGCAGTTAAGAGGGGTGATTAGAGACTAAATCATCAAATAATTCAGAAAATTAAAAATAAAATCAATTTTTCCCAAAAAATTTAAAAAAAATTCAAAAAAAAAAACCTTTAGTACCGGTTCGTAACACCAACCGGTACTAAAGGTCCCCCATACCACGGCGCGAGCTCGTGCCACATGGTTGCCCTTTAGCACCGGTTCGTGCTGAACCGGTATTAAAGGAGGGGGGCCTTTAGTGCCCACACTTTAGTGCCGGTTACCGAACCGGCACTAAAGGCCCTTACGAACCGGTTTTAAAGCTCCGTTTTCTACTAGTGACCATCCGGGAAAATAAAAATCTCATTAAAACCCCCCAATACAATCCATGGTAAATTTGACTGGGCATGTAAATCACGTAGCATACAATATGTACGTTCTTTGTTTTCCCTGCTTGGTTCACCATATATAGGCGTGAGCCTCCACATGTCACCATTCATCTCTTCCACTGAAACATCGATGAAATCTAAGGTGGTAGTCCGGGAGTAGATCATAATCTCCTTCTTCCAGACCATTAGCAATCCACCTTTCCTTTCATCAACACTTGGAGCAATTAGAATGTGATCCATGCGAAATTTCTTCATCAAAATTTCTGCCCTATCTTTATCCAGATGCGTCTCGGACAAAAAAAACGCATCCAGTTCATGCCGCCGCCGGATGTCAAGAAGTGAACCAACCGTCGGGGCGCCGAGAAGGCCCCGACGTCCAACTGATAAATTTCATTGTAGTACTAGCCAAGCAGATGTATGTTCAGACCTAAACTCGCAAGGAGTATACTGGACCGATATCAAGACTGCGCGGACCTTGCCGAGAAGCCAACACGCACTGCAGGACAGAAAACCGAACGTCGTCGAAACCAACGTCGGGAAGAACACCAATCGCTGCCGAAGCCAGCGTCGGGACAGAAAACTTGCACGATCTGAAGGACTCCCGATTCGATCAACAGCCAAAATCCAGATGCATATGCACTATAAAAGCCATACGTAGCAACACCGTGGTCCGTGGATGCAGTCCTCGTGACGGAGGAGCAGATTTGAAGCAGCTGGTAATCCACACAGAAGCAGAGTCAATTGGCTAGCACAGAAATTCTCCTTCTCTCTAGAGACCATCAAACCAGTTGCATGGAGGTGCCCATGGCAAGGGCGCGTATATACCAGCGCAGAAACAGGATCAGCGGACGGCGGCGGCGGCCAAACCCTAATTGCCTCCCTAATCGCAGGAGCTCTAGGACATGTATTCGGGTCCAGCCTCTTGCGATCGCTTTCAAAAGATAGAGATGCTCTTACCGTTCCTAACCTACGTAATATCGGATTTTAGGAGCACAAACAGGGACGACGTCACATTTATTTTTGAAATGGCGTCATATGAGCCCAAGTGCAATTGAGTATGGATCCGCTTGGCAACAGGCAATTGAAAAATATCGATCCGCTTGACAAGTTGGGTTGGGCCATGGAGAACGAGCATGGTCAAATATATCTGCCTGCTTTCTCCTCCCCTTCCTTCTTCCTTCCTTCCTTCCTTCCTTCTTTCCCTCTTCCTATAATCCTAAACAATTATCGCATTCGCACCCACCCTGCCACCCATCATATCAGCGTGTGTATATATCGGAGCAGAGCAACCAACCAGTGGAAAGCATGTCAAGCATGGCGACCATCACCATACTGCTGCTGCTCATCGCGCTGCCTTTGCTGGCGGCAGCGTCCTCGGCTCAGCTTGTGGCGCAGCCGGAGTGTCGCGACAGGTGCGGCAACGTCAGCGTACCCTACCCCTTCGGCATCGGCGTCGGCTGTTTCCGCGACGACGGCCAGCCGGGCTTCCAGCTCGAGTGCAATGACTCCGGCCCCGGCCAGCCTCCGCGCCTCACCGTAGTCGGCTACGGCTACCACCTCGCCGCGCTGTCCCTCCAAGGCGAGGCCCGGACCTACCTCAGGGCCACGCGCCACTGCTACAACTCCACGGGGGAACTCGTCGATAGGGTTACGGAGTACATGTCCGTCTCCGGCACCCCCTACCTCTTCTCCTCCACCAAGAACCGCCTCGTCACGCTCGGCTGCCCCAGCCTCGGCTACTTCAACGACGGCAGGGGCTTCTACGTCAGCGGCTGCACGTCCGTGTGCCGGCCGTCCCAGTACGCCCTGCCGGGCTCGTGCACCGGCGTCGGCTGCTGCCAGAGCGCGATACCCAACGGCGCCGACTACTGGGAGTCGGCCCTCTTTAACTTCTCGCCAGGGCAGCAGGACACCGTCGTCTTCAACACCAACCCCACCTTGTGCCGCTATGTGTTCCTCGTCGAGACCAAGTGGTTCGACGGTCAAACCTCCAACAGTTTCGTCAACCGCACCGACGACTTCGCCGTGCCGCTCATGCTCGACTGGGCCGTGCGGAACGTCGGCAACTGCAGCGCCGCCAGGCGCAACGCCACTGACTTCGCCTGCAAGAGCGCGGGCAGCCGGTGCTTCGACGCCACCAATGGCCCCGGGTACCGGTGTAGCTGCCCCAAGGGCTACGACGGCAACCCTTACCTCGACGGCGGATGCGCAGGTACACATCCTGATTCCTGACACGGTCGAGTCACCAACATTTTATTGTATGTAATGTAGTGTTCTGTACTTCTATCACTATATTTGTGATGATCATTTGTCTGACCAAATGATGTTGAAATTGCTCTGCAAACTGAAGATATCGACGAGTGCCGTCGGAAAGACGAATACCTGTGCTACGGTGAGTGCACAAACACGCCGGGAAACTATACTTGCCAATGCCCTCCAGGTACGAGTGGAGATGCCTACAGGGAGAACGGCTGCCGGGTAAATGACAAGTTCACCTTGGCTCTCAAAATCGTTACAGGTACACACACGGATCTTGGGTCGTCTTGCAACATATTACACATATTTCATTTGTTTTTTATATTAACATATTTATTTTATCCAAAAATATCATTGGTTCTCCACGGGAATCGAAACTAATAATTGAGTATGCGATGTGTCATATCCAGGAGTTAGCGTCGGTGTGTTCTTGTCACTATTCACATGCTTCTGGGTCTACCTAGGACATCAGAAGCGGAAGCTCATCAAGGCAAAGCAGAGCTTCTTTGAGCACAACGGAGGCGTCATCCTGCAACAGCAGATGCGCTCCTACAGTGGCGCCCCTGGGGGAGGCGGTGGTGGGTTCAAGATATACTCAGAAGAGGAGCTCAAGAAGGCGACCAACAATTTCGCTGCTGATCAGATCCTCGGTCGCGGCGGCCATGGCATTGTGTATAGAGGTGTTCTGGAGGATAGTACTATAGTGGCTATAAAGAAGTCCAAAATGATGGAGGAAACTGAGACCAAGGAGTTCGCAAGGGAGATGTTCATACTCTCCCAGATCAACCACCGAAACGTCGTCAAGTTACACGGATGTTGCCTTGAGGTGGAGGTGCCAATGCTGGTCTACGAGTACGTCTCCAACGGCACCCTCTACCACTACATCCATGGCGGCAAGGGCCTCGAATCCAATACGGCACTCGATACCCGTCTACGGATAGCGGCGGAGTCGGCAGAGGCTTTATCGTATATGCACTCATCGGCCTCGCCGCCAATCCTTCACGGCGATGTCAAGACGGCCAACATCCTGCTCGACGGCAACCTCACCGCCAAAGTCGCGGACTTTGGGGCGTCAAAATTGGCGCCTAGTGACGAAGCCGAGATTGCGACATTGGTGCAAGGCACCTGCGGATACCTGGACCCGGAGTACCTCATGACATGCCAACTGACTGACAAGAGTGACGTGTATAGCTTTGGTGTCATTCTGTTGGAGCTTCTGACAGGAAAGAAGGTGATCTGCTTCGATGGGCCAGAGCAGGGCAAGAGCCTCGTGTCCCGATTCACGATAGCCGTGAAAACCAACCGACACGACGAGGTGCTTGATAGCCGGGTGAGGAAGGAGATGGGCCCCAAGGCATTGGAAGAAGCCACACATCTTGTGATGCGATGTGTGAGCATGAGTGGGGAGGAGCGACCAACAATGAAGGAAGTTGCCGAGAGGCTAGAGGCGTTGAGGAGGTACCAGCAGAACCCATGGGGTCAGGCTGGTGCCAGAGATCTAGAGGAGGGGCAAAGCTTGCATGGCAGGGAGCAACAACATGATGTGACTTATAAGTTTATACCGCAAGATGTGCTTGATGTTGAAGAGGGCAGTACATACACATTTAGCTTGTAGATTCATCTATTGTTGTTCGTGACCCTTTTGCAATGTGTGACTCAAATGTGTGATTGAGTTGGGGTGGCTAGCTGGATTATTTGACTGAGGTGCATATTCTTCACCCCAGATCCTTAATAACATTTCTAGTGTTACCTGGGGATATGGTGTGTTTGCTTGAATGTTTTTTCCTCTAAATTCCCAACTTATCAAAATGTGCTTCACTTGCAGATGTTGACGAGTGTCTTGATACAGAAATATGTTGAGACCACAATATCATCGGGGACTTTATTTGTTGCGTTCTGAAACAAAATATGATCCAGAGAAAATGTAGTGCACCTCATCCAAACAGAATAATCTCAATATACGTATATATACATGGCGCCTATATACATACCTTTCTATATATATTAGATGATATATATAAAAATGGGAACTTATGGGGTAGACATTTACATATTTTGTACATAGGTGTTACCATTGGACAAGGTGCTGCCTTGGCAACGCCACTTGTTGGTTTGAGTACGGTATTATATTTCTATAGATGAAAAAGAGGTATAAGAAAACAATAACGCAAGATGTACTTCCATAAAAATCAGGGCCGTCTTGAAAGGGCTTAGTATCCATGTGTGTTTTTGTTAATTAATCACAATATCTATGAACTAATGTTTTCAATTGAGAATTTGAAGAAAAGTTTCACATGCAATGCATGAGGAATATTGGATGAATTGATGCAAGTCATCAATGTGTGTGTAAAGATATGTTGCAAGATTTGATGGATTTAGACTAAAGACAATGAGTAGACCCACGCACCACGCAGACGAAGTGCCCCATCTCCAACTCGTAGCTCACCATAAGGGACGCCTTCAAGTGACGCCTTGTCGTCAACATGCCGCTGCAACACCATCACTACACTTCATTACGAAGGTCTTCATCAACATGGTATTCACCAACATCTTTGTTGACACAAAATTGTTGCCTCGTCCACAAGATGGACATCTCTAGCGTCCTCTGACATACTTTTCTGTATGGCACGCCATCGATGACGGCAAATACTGCGACACAACAACATCATCGACCACGTCATCCATGTCTGCATCGACACGACATCACTATAGTGATGACCCCTACATGGCAACAATGTCCTGGAAAAACCGATGCGTGCTTCCTGGGTTTTCCCCAGTGTTGGCAAAATTGATGGATTCATCGACGACGCCACCCTCTGACATCTACAAGGTGCATAGTCCATGACGACAACACCATCTGAGATCTGCAAGGTGCACCATCCACGACTACAACTCCATCATAGCACATTTTTTGTGCCTCGGGCTTTGTGTGACTTCGTCCATGGCAACTACATCATCGATCGCGGCTACATCGTCATGACCAGATAGCTCGACATCGACATCAAGGACTATGTCTATAGCTACACATCGTCAACAACTCAAGTCAACAGCATCCACGCAACTCCCCTGTGACTGGCGGGGAGGGGGGCACAGAGGAGAAGACAAGGAAGGCACTAGAAGGTGTCACAATCACCGTCCTAGGTGCCGACCCATCAGACATTAGAGGCATAATTGATGATGGTGAAGCGGAGAATATGACAGAAGCGCAAGACTTCAAATTCACTCACAATCTTGTCAAGCTACGACCAAGGAAGGGTGTTAGAAGTACAATTGAGTTTGGTTTGAGGTAAGGAAAGATAGGGATAGTATTGGTTTAAATCATACATTACTTTTCATGTACTCCAAGTCTCTTCCACCATTGTACTCTATATATACCTCTACGAAGGTTAGATAAGTACGTTGTAGAAATATTCAGGGTTTCTTTGTTTTTCACCTAAGAAACATTGTAGGTTATTACAGTAACTTGCATTGTTCATTGGTCACTTTTTCAAGATTTTCTATTGTTTAGCGAACACGCTAAAGACAAAAAGAAAATGTTGAACTATGACAATCTTGTCAAGCTGAACATTAGTAAGCAGATGTTTTAGACATGGTGACATGGCTAAGTGGCAATATGCAATTGAATATTGATCCACTTGACTACTTTCCGCGAGCACGCCATGGAAGAGCAGCCAAGTCGAACCCGCTTTCCTCAACATTGCTGCTTTCTCCCGGTTCATGCATCTCCCTCCTTCCTTCTTCCAATAATGCTACTCCATCTCATCTAAATTACTTGTCGCCATTTTAGTATACTTTTTGGGCAAGTCGATTTTCTATCAGAATTGATTTACATTAATTTGGATCAGTTCATTTTTATTAGTCCATGACGCATTGGATGCTTGGTTGTGAATCGATCATGCAAGCCAACCACATGCAGGCCTGATAGGCAAATTGAGTTGGGCTAGTTCGTTACTCGGCTAAATAACCATATACTAGTGATTTTTTTGCAAAAAGGTGCTTTCTAAAAAGTAATGGATTATTGACATCGGTATTACCCCTACAAAAGTAAAATAAAAAATAAAAAATAAAAAAATGAACTAAAAGCTAAAACAAAATAAATAAAATGTGTTCTATGGAGGAATAAATTCATGGCATTGGTATTACACATTCAGAAGAAAGAAAACAAAAATACTAAAATAAAATAAAAATAATAAATTTTCTGAAAAGAATGAAACCCTTTAAGAAGAAATAAAATGAAAAAGAAAAACATTTAAAAACTTGCACACAACTTTGCAATAAATTGCAATTTTTGAAATATGCAAAGAATAAGCATATAATAGTGCAATTTTCGCATACTATAATTTACACACATATTATTTAGGACTTTTACTTTACTTGCACAAAAAAATGCATTTCTAAGAAGGAATGAATTAGTGGCATTGATATTACTCTTTTAGAAGAAAGAAAGTGAAAATAAATAAATAAAATAATTATAAAATTTGCACGCAATCTACCAAAAAGTTGCATTTTTTAGTAATATGCAAGAATAAGCATATAATAGTGTAATTCGCAAAAAAAACATGTTTACTAAGAAGTAATGAATTAGTGACATGCTAACATTGGTATTACCCTTTAGGAAGAAAGAAAAATGAATAAATATAACAAACTCAAAATAGTTAAATTTCCTAACGAAGAATAAATTAGTGGCATTGGTATTAGCAATTATGAAGAAAGAAAAAGGGAAACAAAATTTGAAACAAACAGTGACATAATTTGCACAAAATATGCATAAAACTTGTGATTTTTAAAAACACACAAGAATAAGCATATAAAAGTTGAATTTTTGCAAAACAAAACTAAGAGCAAATGAATTAGTGACATTGGTATTACCTTAAAGTAAAGTGAAAGTGAAATAAAAACTAAAACAATATAAAAATAATAAAGTTTCTAAAAGAGAATGAACTAGTCGTGTTGGTATTTCCTTTAATAAGAAATAAAATAAAATAAATAAAAACTTACACCAAAATTGCACTTTTTGTAGTATGCAAAGAATAATCATATAATAGTAAAATTTTAGCACATATTATGTAGTATTTGTGTGTTTATATTTACACTCACCAAGCATCCCATAAATACCGACAAAATAAAAAATAAAAACCAATTAATAAAGAAAAGGAAAAACACATAAAAACAGAAAAAAACAAAGGAGATATAAGAAGGCTGAGCACTGGAATGGGCTTCCACCCATTAAAGAATTGACTGACCCAAATCTGTGCTCAGTCAAAAATAAAAAGGTCAACACAAACACACAGATTAACCCTGAAAAAAACAACATGAATCTTAATGCAGTAATCTATGGCCCAAAAATTGACTGACCCAAAATTAATTTTCAGCCAACTTACATATAGCTAAAGTGATACTTTTATCAAGAATATCACCTTTTAAGGTTACTTTAGTGTACCTTTAATATAAAATTATACTAAATCAGCGATAATTAAGATGAATAGGAGACCACTTCTCAGCCTAGGCTCATCTGCACCCTCGTTGAAGAAAAAAACAAAATAAATACTAGGAAATTGCATGGTAGATAATTTAATGCATGGGACCCGCTCTAATTTTCAAATCATTTGGATATCTGAGCAACTCTCAACAAAAAAGACAAATCCAAGGTCTATAAAAAAGATTACTGTTCATGCACTATTCTGACCCGATTTGCCTTTTTTCTTTTGAGAGCTACTCAGATGTCTAAACGATCCAAAAATTGGAGCTGACCTTGCGCAATAAATTTTCTACCATTCAATTTTTTTGAATTTTTTGTGATTTTTTTCCTAACCGGATGCAGATGAGTCTGGACAGTGAAACGTCGCACTCAGAGTATACTCCATTCTAAATATAAGTCTTTCTAGAAATTTTAACATGGACTACATACAGATGTATACAAACATATTTTAGAGTGTAGATTCACTCGTTTTCGTCGGTATATAGTCCATATTCAAATAATATGGTGTTTTGGCTCCTAGGTGCATATGCATCCATTGTCTAAATACACATTTTAAAAAGTTAAAAAATTCGGAACAAAAATCCCACGGGTATATCCAGACATTCTATGTGCATGCACAAACTTTCGATGAAAAACGACCTTTTATGTGGCTTTTGTAAAAAAGATAAAGAAATGCAAAATGAATAGTCGTAATGAAGCCTTAAAAATTGTCTTTTTTACACAAGCCACAGAAAACCTCGTTTTTCACCGAAAACTTTGTGCACGCATATAGAATGTATAGATATACACGCAGGATTTTTGTTCGGAATTTTCCAACTTTTCAAAATGTGTATTTAGACAATGGGTGTATATGCACCTAGGAGGCATTGCCAATTTCCAATATTTAAATCTCTACAAGGATTTATATTTTGTAAGCGAGGGAGTAGTTAATTACTCCTATTGGCAAGACTGGTGGTCATGCGGCTAATAGCAAATCATAGTCACATCCACCATCGGTCCATCTCCATCGTCCACACAGCTCACGTGACCGCGTAAGTGTATATATATATATATATATCGGAGCAGAGCAACCAACTAGAGAAGAACATGTGCTGCTTCTCCTGTGTTAGCGTATGTACATTGCATGTAATGTGTAA